AGCCGGCCTGGTCTGCAAAGCAAGTCCAGGATAGCCAAGAGAAACCCTGTCTTCAAAAACAAAAACAGAACAAAAGAAGCAGCCAGCAATCCCCTCACCCCTCCTGAAGAGGGATCCTTCCAGGCATCTGTCTCTCACTCTGCCCACCCCACATCTGAGCCCCACAGTGGCCCTCCTCCCAAGGAGGAGCAGACGTGGCTGCTTCAGCTCTGTCCCTGAGCTACTGCAGTAGGAGTAGTCAGCTCTGAAAGCAATGACTCACACTTAGTTCATGAAAGACTGCTCTGAAATACAAAAGCTGCAGCCAGGAAGGACATCCAGAGGTCATAGGATCCAGCCCCTGGCCTCCTCCACTGTGGCCCCACAAACGCCTAAACCAGAAATGTCCAGTGTTGGGGGGGTCCGCCGATGCCCTGACTCCCCGGGTTTTCCTTGGTGAATGGTACCACTGGCTCCCCTGGGACGTCTTCCCCGTGATTAGTCAGAATTGCTCCGCTCTGCGTATGGATAGCCACTTCTCGGTCACTTTCCCCATGGACTAGAATACCAGGCTTCAAATGGCCAAGGAAAGGGAACCAAGGAGACGGGCTCTTTCTTCTCCCTTGGGGAAAGTACTGGAAAAGCACAAATCTCCCAGAAGAAAGGAGAGGAAGGGAAAAAGTGAGCCTTCCTCACTGGATTTGCCTACTCTGGTACCCCAGTCACTTTTGTATTCTCCAATGGTGAGTGTAGGGTGGCAGACAGTGGCACAGTCACAATCTTTTATCATTGTCCCATTTGTATATTTGTTTATTTGTATGTGTGTGTGCCTGTGTATGGAGGTCAGAGCTCACTTTTCTGTTTTTCTTTTGGGGGGCGCAGGGGGGAGGACGGATGGTGAGATAAGGTTTCTCTGTGTAACCCTGGCTGTCCTGGAACTCGCTCTGGAGACCAGGTTGACCTCAGACTCAGAGATCCGCCTGCCTCTGCCTCTCAGAGTACTGGGTTTGAAGGGGTGCGCCACCACCGACTGTGTTAAAGGCCAATCTATCCTGCCACCATGTGTGACCTGAGACTCAAACTCAAGTCATCAGGCTTGGAGGCAAGTTTCTTTGTCAGCTGAGCTATCCTACCAGTCCCCTTCCCCCTTGTTTTGAGTCAGAGTCTCAAAGAGCACAGGCTGGACTCAGTAGGTAGGGAGGATGACCTTGAACTCCTGACCCCGTTGCATCTACCTTTCGGCTATGGGCATATGTCAATGCTCTCTGTTTGTGTGGTACTGGTCTTCTTGCATCCTGTACCAGCACCCTGTCAACAAAGCTATACATCCAGCCTCACAGTCTCCATCCTGCAGGTGAAGAAATCGATGAGCTAAAGATGTAGTTGTGTGCCTGAGGGCTTGCTAATAATTACTGACTATACAAGTAATAGACCCTTAGGCCCCAGTCCTCATGCTGGAGAAATGGCTCACTGGCCAAGAGCACTGGCTGTTTTCCGGAGGGCCCAGCTCCTACATGGTAGCTCACAAATATTTGTAACTCCAGTCTCAAGGGACCCAGTGTCCTCTTCTGGCTTCTATGGGCATCACATGTACATATAGGACACAGACAAATATGCAGGCAAACATTCATACATACAGAATAAAATGAAAAGGGTTTTTTTGTTTTTTGTTTATTTGGTTTAAGTTTTATTTTGGTGGGGTTTTTTGTGGTTTTTGTTTGTTTGTTGTTGTTGTTGTTGTTGTTTTGTTTTTTGAGATAGGGTTCCTCTGTATATGCCTGGCTGTCCTGGAACTCGATCTGTAGACCAGGCTGGCCTCGAACACACAGAGATCCACCTGCCTCTGCCTCCTGAGTGCTGGGATTAAAGGCATGTGTCACCATTGCCTGGCAAAACAAAAAGATTTTTAAGGGGCTAGAGAGATGTCTGAGTGGTTGAAAGAACTGGCTTTTCTTGCAGAGTACCAGGTTCAATTCCCAGCACCCACATGGTAGCTTATGGTTCACAAGCATCTGTAACTCCAGTTGTAGCTTCTGTCTTCCACAGGCATAAGGCATGCACAAGGTGCACATCATACATGCAGACAAAGCGCACATACATATAAAATCAAAATAAAATTCAAGCCGGGTACAGTGGCTCACCGCTGTAATCCCAGCACTCTGGGAGGCAGAGGCAGGGGCATCTCTGTGAGTTTTAGGCCAGCCTGGTCTGCAAAGCGAGTCCAGAACAGCCAAGGCCACACACAAAGAAACTCTATCTCAGAAAAAAACAATTAAATTAAATTAAATTTAAAGCAAGGCTGGTGGTATATACCATTAATCCCAGGGCTCAGGAGGCTGAGGCAGGCAGATTTGAGTTTGAGGCCAGCCTGGTTTATATATCAAGTTCCAAAGTTCCAGGCTGGCTAGGACTACAAAGAGAGAACCTGTCAGATAGATAGATAGATAGATAGATAGATAGATAGATGTGTATGTGTTTGTGTGTGTGTATGTGTGTATAAGTATGTGTATGTATGTATGTACACACACATATATATGAACCCCAAATCCCGGCTCTTATGAAGAAACTGGGTTACCTCACCCCAGAAGTCTCCAGGGACAGAAGAGACCTCTGTTTATTCTAAAACAGGAGACACGTTTGCATTTTGTGGTGCTGGGGAATGAGTTCTGAGCCTTGTGTATTCTCAGCAAATGGCAAGACTTCTGCTGACAAACAGCCCATTCCTAGTTTTCAGTTCTCATTGAGGAATAAAAAGCTTCTCAATAAATGGCTGAGGCGGGCCTTAAACTCTCTCTTTAATGCAGGCAGGCCTTGGAGGGGTAATCTTTTTTTTCCTCAGCTTCCCGGATAGCTGGGGTTATAGCCATGCACCACCATGAGCCTGATGACCCTCAGGGTGTCCTGAGCATTGACGGCTAAACTGCCAGGGAAGGGAAGCTGAGTGAGCAGTGGGGTACACTGTCAGAGGGGCAGGAGGGTCTTCAAAGGCTGAGAGTGTTCCTCTGGGGAGACAGAGGGCTGAGTTCAGGATCTACCGTTGCCTCCTTTCAGGAGAGCCAGAAGCCAGAGGACTCCTGCAGCTGAGATAGAGCTGGAGGGGGAGGGACCAAACTCTCCCCGCAACAACCAAGAAGCCGCACACCTGCCCTTGCTCTGCTCCTGCAAACGAGTCTCTATTCCTGGACACAGTAACCTTGAGAGGTCGGCTCTTCAGGCCTCACAGGGAGCTAGTGCTCTCATCACCTGGGCCCTTGAACGCCACCACCAACAGCAGAGACAGCGGCATGCATGAGCTCGAAGTCCCTCCATCCGCACATCCTCGGTCAGGCCAGGAGATGACGTGGAACTCGGGGCCAGAAGGGTATGGAAAACGGGTGCCAAAGGGTGTGGGAGAAGAGGTCCCGGTTTATGGCCATGCGTTAGAAGAAGCACATTCAGACCAGCCTTCTGCTTGACCAAACTCCAGCTGCAGGATTTGAGAAGGGCCCATCTTTTTGAGTTTGTTTGTTTGTTTGTTTGAGACAGGGTTTCTCTGTGTAGCCCTGGTTGTCCTGGGATCTGTAGATCAGGCTGGCCATCGATCTGCCTGCCTCTGCCTCCCAGAGTGCTGGGGTTACAGGCCTGCTGTCCCTATGCCCTGCAGAAGGGCCCATCTTAGGGAGGTTTGTGAACTCCCTGGATGAGTATGGAGGTCCACCCCTGCTGAAGTCCAGACAGGAAGACTGAGGAGCAGGGTTGCCTGACTCTCCAGCCACATGGAAGGACTTCTGCCTTGGCTTTTCATTTGGTTAAAATTTTGTTTTATTTTTATTTTTTATTTTTCTTTTGAGACAGGGTCTCACTATATAACCTTGGCTGGTCTGAACTTACTATAGAGATGAGACTGGCCTTGAACTCATGGAGATATGCCTTCCTCTTGGCAATATGGCTCCCAACTGCCGGTACTATAGGCATGCACCACCTATAGTACCACCACCACCACCCCTGGTTTGGCTTCAGTTTTGGCCCGTTAGGGTGTCTTCAGTCCATAACCCCAACATTAGGGAGGCTGAGACGAGAAGACCAGTTTGAGGTCAGCTTGGTCTATACGGTGAATTCTAGGCCAGCCTGGGCTACATCGAGTCTGTCTCAAAAATAAAAAGCAGGGACTTTGGAGAGAGTTCAGAGGGTGAACTACCTGCCATTCAGTCCTAAGGGCCTGGCTTTAACGCCCAGCATCTAGTTAAAAAGGCCAAACCCACAGCACGGGGAAGGCAGAGGATTTCAGGGGCTCCAAGGCCGGCCAGTCTAGCTGAACCAGCTTACAGTGTGAGGTCCAAGTCAGGGCCTGGGGAATGACACCTAAAGTTGACCTCTGGCTGTCCCGAGGTCACACACACACACACACACACACACACACACACACACACACACACGCCACTCATGTACCACACAGGTACCGTCTCAGACACGCGAGCGTGTGGATCATAAACACACAGACCGGCCTGGCTCTCCGCTTCAGGGAGCGCCGGTCAGTCTGGGAGTGGTGTGTGTACTCGGTGAGACCCTAGAAAGACGTTGAGTTAGTGGGGGTAAACGGGTCCTTTTCCGCCGAGGCGCGGCATCTTCCCGCGTGCACTGTCGGAACGCTGTGACTTCTCTTCTGGGCTGTTTTGCTGCAGCCCCGAAATCATTGGTATTTCCGGACGTTCCTCTCACCGTCCCAATTTTGCCCCCCCTCCGCCCCCTTCCAGCCATCTCGGGTTTTTGTTTTTGTTTTTTCCAGTGTAAAACTACCCCTCCACTTCTTTACCCTCCGAACCCCTCCCCATCTCGTCGAGCCCCCCAAGACTCCACCCCGCTGGTCCTCCTAGCCACCGCCGCAGCCAATAGCTGAGAGCCTTGATTCGCAGAGCTGCGCGGGGGCGCGGCGGAGGGAAGGGGGAGGGACCAGGCGACCTCCTAAATCAAAGTTGGGAGGCTAGGACTGGGCGGAGGGGCCGCCGGGTGCAGGGCTGGGGCCGGCGGGGGGAGGAGGAGGAGGAGGGAGATGGGGGGCGGGCGCAGAGGACGGCGGAGCCGGCCGGACTCGGACAGCTCCGTGGCTCCCTTGCTCTGCTCCTCGGCGCAACCCCGCTTCCCTCCTCCTCCTCCTTCTCCTCCTCCTCGTCTCGCGGAGCGCAGCATCCTCTGCGGACCCTGGGTCCTCACACCCCGGCTCGTCCCTCTCCCCCGCCACCCCAACAACTTTCTCCTCCGGTGCCTGGGGTTAGGGGGGCGGCTGTGCCCGGGAAGGTTTCTCCGGGGGTCCCTGGAAGGAAGCCACTGGAGAAAAGCTTGAGAGTCCCAAAGAGACTCCCGCTACCGACAGCCCGCCCCGGGGCGGGCCTGCCGTCGGGTCTCCGCGCGCCCTCTCCCCCTTTCCATCCCAACCATGACCGAAATGAGCGAGAAGGAGAACGAGCCCGATGACGCGGCCACCCATACCCCTCCGGAGACCGTCTCCGCCCTCCAAGAGACCAAGGTAAGTCGGGGTGTGTGTTGGGGGGGGGGGGGGCGCGAGGGCCGGCCCCGCGCGGGCACCCCCCACCCGGGGCGGTGCTCCCAGGGGGGGGGGGCCCCTTGGGGGCCCGGGGAGCTCAACCGGGCCCCCCCCCCCCCGGCGTGACTCCTTAGGCTGCGCGCGCCTTGCCCGGGAGGGAGGAGAGGAGGGCTCGCTCGGGACTAGGGGGACCCCAGGAGCAGATCACCCCGCCGCGACCCGCCAGAGCGAGCGAGCGAGCGAGCGAGCGAGGCGCTCCGGCTCACCCCCCTTCCCCCGCCGGGCGGTTGTAACTCGGCTTTGTTGGAGGGAATCGGCGCGGCGGAGGCGCAGGGCGTGTGTGGCGGTGTGTAGCCGGTGTACGCGCGCGTGTGTGCGTGCGGGGCGCACCCCTCCGTGGCCTCCAGATCCGCGGTCTGCGGCTCCCCGGCTCCTGTCCCTCTGAATTCCCCTCCACGACCGTCTCCTGTCTCTGGGCGGGCGGCTCCTGCCGTTTCCCTACGTGCCTCTCTGGGTGTCTCCGGCGTCCCTCTCCGAACCCCCCCCCCCCGGCAGCCTGGGCACGCACCTCGCCCACCCGCTAGGCTGGGCTCCCCCAAAGGCCGCGGTCCCCGGGTGCGCAGCTTCCGAGCCGGCTCCGGGGGCTGCGGCAGCGCGCGGGGCCGTCGGTGGCGGAGCGGTGCGGTTCTGGAGAGCCGGGGGGGGCCCCCCCCCCCCCGCCCGCCCAGCTCGCTCGGAGAGCCAGGAGAGGGGAGGAGAGAGGGCAGGATCAAAAGAAGAAGTCATCGTAATTAATGAATGTCATAATTAACCCTAATTATGTATGATTGTTACTCTTGCGGGAGTCACAATGAATAAATTATTCTCCCCGTGAAGGCAGGCGGAGCCCAAGCTGCGGGCACTGAGAGGGGTGGGGGAGGCTGACGCTCACATTTCCACCCCCCACCCCTGTGGGTCTACCCCCTTCCCCAACTTCTAGGTGCTCGTGAAGTTCCGTGGGAAGCGAGCGCCTGGGAGTGGGGGGAGAGGACCCGGTGGGAAGGAGCCCTTTCCCCATCCTAGACCTCAGGCCAAGACTTCCCCCTTTCTCTCTTCCTTCGGCTCTGCTCTGGTGTTTGTTACCATCCTGGTCCTTTGACCTGGAGAGCACTAGAGATGGGTGGCGTCCTGGGCACGTTCGGGTCACAAGCTCCTACCCAGCGCTTCCCACGGATCATCTTCCTTCTCAGTCCATCCTGACGACCCCCCCAGAATACGAGGTTAATTCAAGGTCAAGCTCATCACCGCAGTGAGCGCAGGGAGTTGAACAGGGTAGGCACTAAGTCTGGGCGGAAGCTACACCCCCCCCCCCCCCCCCCCCCCCCCCCCCCCGCTACCCCTACCCCGTGCCTGCGCTTGGGGATCCTGCTGCTCTCCATGTCTGAGTCTCTTGGCTTTTTGATGTCTTGCCAAGTACCCCTGGCTGTCCTCAAACTTTTGGCCATTCTCCTCTACTTCCCCCAGAGCTAAAATCACAGCCACCATAGCTGGGTCCCTCCTGCCCAAGGCTTCAGTACACACCTGGCCTTCTGCTTCCTTCTAAAACTGAGACTCTGGCTTCCTGGTCTTACGGTTCCAAATCTTTCCTGGAAGAGGATGTTGCTTGGGTCATCTGTGACAGACCAGGAGGATCTTGGGAGCTGAGCCTCACCCTGAGTTCTAGCCCCCCAGCCTCCTCCTTGGCCCTGTTGTTACCCTGTGTGACTAGATAGCCCCAATGCTGTTTCTCCAGAGACTGGAGGGGCTCCTGCCTCCTGCCATAGGAGAACCTGTCTGCTCCACCCCCCCTTAGGAGCTCACCAAGGCAGGCAGGAGCCTGGAATGGTGCTGCCTCAGCAATCCCACAGGCTGCAAGCTCAGCTGTGTGGGGAGGGGGGCCAGACCCTGGCAGGGCTGTATCTCCCTCCTCCCATCCAAGGACCCTCCAATGTCATCTGCTCTGGGTCTGAGCACGGAAGGCCTGGAGGAGGAGAGGAGAGGGATCATCGCACAGCTGACTCCCTCTGTGCCAGGCCATTGGAGTCCCCAGCCTTGGCCCCTTTTCGTCCTTCAGGAGGACTCTGGAATAACCACACAGGCAGGACTAGGGGAGGGGGATGAGTCGTGGGGCCACTCTGCAGGGCAGAGGTGGGCAGTCGGGGAGAGAACTCAGGGCTTCTGTCAGCCTCCTTCAGGCCCTCACAGAAGAAGCTTGTGCCTCTAGATCCCATGGGAGGAAAGATGGAGAAGAAGGTGCTGCCCACCTAACTCAGCTGGTTCAACAAGAGGCCGGGTGCCCAGGAGCCACCGGTCTATTCTTAGTCATCAGTTTGGTGCCCCGAGGCATCTCCTGCCAGCCTGAACCCAGTTTCCTGTTTAGTCTACGGCAGGGTCTCAGCAGTCTGCGAAGGAAATCCACTTCCTTTTAGGATTCTCAGTCATCCCATAATATTGCTTATCACCTTCTTTGGTGTCATCCTGGAAGACCTGACCATGCCTGCTTTGCCATCTGAGTCATCTCTTGTCACATCTGACACCACCCACAGCCAGCTGCCTAGTACTGTTCCAGGAGACGGCATGGGGAACTGGGGACAAGAAGGAGCCTCCAGGGAGCTTCTAGGGAAGAGGACACTGCCTCCTGCTCTGAGAGGCAGCCCCAACAGACCTGGAGGCCTGGGCCACACGCCAGACAGTCTGCAGGTACACTGGGAAGGAACTGGACCCAAGCAAAACAGCTTACTAAAGGGCGTGCCAGAAACGGATCCCTGCAGCGGAGGCACCGAGGCAGCTGGTGAAGATTGGTGAGATGCTTATCCGTGTCTCAGCTGCTGTTCTATTGCGGTGAAGAGACCTGACCCCCGGCAACTCTCCTAAAGGAAAACTTTGTATTGTTTTGTTTGAAACAGCGTTTCTCTGTGTAACAAGCCTTGGCGGTCCTGGACTCCCTTTGTAGACCGGGCTGGCCTTGAACTTACAGAGCTCCACCTGCCTCTGCCTCCCGGAGTGCTTGGGTTACAGGTGTGCACCACCAGACAGTAAGGAAAACCTTGAATAGGGGCTGGCTTCCAGGGTCAGAAGTTTAGTCCGTAGAATGGTGGCTGTGTGCAGGCTGACAGGGTGCTGGAGAAGTGGCTGAGCGTGCTGGAGCGGCTGGTGGCAGGAAGAGAGACACTGAGCCTGGCCTCAAAACCCAAACCCTCCTCCCACCCCCACCCCCACCCCCACCCCCACGACACACTTTCTCCAAGACAGCTATACCTTCAGTAATGCTGCTCCTCATGGGTCTGTGGGGCCGTTTTTATTCAAACCGCCACATCCCAGCGACCTGAGTTCAATCCCCAGAACCCACCAACATGGCGGCGGAAAGAGAAAACCGACCCTCCACGCATGTGCCATGGAAGGCTCATGATCAGACACACATACATATACACACACACACACACACACACACACACACACACACACAAGTAAATAAATGTAGAGTGGTGGGGACAACTGCAGAGACCAGGAATCTAAGGAGTTGGGACACCTGGCCTGGCAGAGTCACCAAAGTGACATCTCTGGGATAAGCAAGCAGACACTTGACAGCATGGGCATGAGTTAGAAAATCAGCAGGCAGAGTAGAGGCTTCCCTGAGGCCGGGGAACACTGTGTTCCAGACACCTCCGGCACCCTCCTCGAAGAGGTGGCTGTTGGCACCAAATCCCTGGGAGGGGGTATACCAATAAAGGGCACAGGCCAGACTTGTGGGGAGGGACTCAGATTTACAGGGATCTCCCTGGGAGTAATGGCCTCAGGAAGGGGGACGTGAATGATGCCTTCACACATTGGAAAGTCTGCTGTGGCTAGAGTAGCCCGGCCAGAGCCACAAGGGTAGTGGGGGCAGATAGGCAGATGTCACGGGGAGGCAGGTTTCAGCACTATGTAGGGAAGCGCCTCCTAGCAACTGCAATTGCCCAAAGATGGAGTGACTGTCGTCCCACGAGGGAGTGTGCTTCCCCTCACAAGAGGTGACCAAGAGCCATGCACTCAGAGACAATGTGGCCAGAGCAAAGCCATGGGCTGGGCTGGGGACTGGTTTAGGTGCTCAGTGTTTCCGGTGCCTTCTAACCCTGAATTCCTTCATCGACCTGATAGACAAGTCCATGGATCAGAGGAGGGAGGGGAGGGCCCCGACAGTAATCTATTTGATTATTTGATCTGAGCAGCCAGAGACGCCTGTTCAGGTCCTGACCCTGCTACTTGCCAGCTGAGGACCCAGAGCGGGAGAGATTCAAGTCCTTTAAGCTTCACCCCTCATCTGAACCATGGGACAGTGACAGTTCCCCCCCAGAGGGTAGCGCTGGATGCAGGGGGAGGGTGTGTCAGGTGCTAGCCCAGATCCAGGACCCTCATGCTGAGATGCTTTATGAAGCCACATTTCTGGCTGACTGATCTGTTTGGACCCAGAGAGCACCCGGTGTGGCCTCCTCCTCCTTGGGGGTGGGAAGGCCAGGAGAAAGGAAGAAAAGTGATTTACACTCAGATAACAAATTAGTTTTGGCTGGGCCTGGTGGTGGCTCATAATCCCAGTGCTCTGAGAGCAGCGGCAGGTGGATCTCTGTGAGGTCAGCCTGGTCTACAGGACAGCTAAGGCTACACAGAGAAACCCTGTTGGGGGAGGGGCAATTCTGGCCTATCACCTCCTGTGTGCTCTGTGCCTGAGGCCCCTGAGCAGAACATTGGTGCCTGGAAATGGGGACAGGAAGGGTGGCAACGGTATTCATGTTTCTCCTGGGCCCCATCGAAGCCCTACAGCCCTGTTTGAGACTGGCAGCCACCACCTGACCTGGGCAGGTATGCATAACCTAGGTAGTTATTCATTGTCCTTCTGGCTCGCCACCTCTGCTCCTGAGCACAGGCATCCGGGGCCCCAGGCCTCACTTCTCATAGCTGCACAAAGAGGCCCACAGTGCTGTCCAGGAAGCTGCACTTGGAAGGAGATGAACAACAGTGTGCCAGACACCCCAGGGCTCTGGCCTCCCAGCTGGCACAACAGAGCCGGTCTTGTGCCCAAACACCCCCTCTGCTTCTCTCTCCATTTTGCTGCCTGCTGGCCTCTGGAAGGCTACAGGGGCCACTACTTTCATCCCTTTGGCATACACAGGTGCTAGGCAGACAGCCATAGTGCACAGGCTGCCTGGCATAGCATGCCAGCTGGGAACCCTGGCCAAGACGGCCTGCCTGGAGCCAGGCCTAGGCCCTCCTTTCCTATTGCTGGTGGAAAGAAGTGGGCAGGAATAAGGCAACACTACACAGAGAAATCCTGTCTCAAACAAACAAACAGAAGAAGAAAACAGACAAACAGCTACAAAAACAAAACTTCTTTCGGGTGTAATAGATACTTTACAAGAACAAAACTCAAGAGTTCTCTCAAATATTTAAACGTAAGCGAAATAAGGGAGCACTTGGCTCCACAGGAAGAAGGAGTGATAAGGCCGAGATACCTTGCTGAGCACAGACTCAGGGTGCGTTTGATCGAGGAGTGCAGAGAATTCCAGCCTCCTAGCAGAACTGGTCCTGGCTCCACAGAAGTCGGTAATGTATTCGGCAGGGACACAGTGACTGAGTACTGTATGTCGGGACCTTTAAGGACTGGAGGTGACAGGGCCTCTGCCTCGCTCAGTCTCAGAAGGGGCCAGAAGTTGACCAGAGGAACCTGAGGTGTTGCAGTTCTGTCTTAGGGCAGGGCCAGGAAGCACCAGAAGAGGAAATGGGTCTACTGAAGAGCTTCAGTGGGAAAGGCTCTTCTCACAAGGAAGGCCTCTGGAAGTGTGGAAGGCAGAGAACAGGATATGAACATCCTGTTCATATGAAAGCTCCCAGGCATAGGGGCCTGAGGAGATGGCTCAGAGGTTAAGAGCACTGGCTGATGTTACTAAAGATCCTGAGTTCAATTCCTGGCAACCACATGGTGGCTCACAACCATCCAGAATGATATCTGGTGTCCCAGGCCTACCTATCTGCCAGAGATGGTCCCCATGGGAACAAGGGTATTGGACAGTCTCCTGGGGATCCAGGACCGGTTTCTTTTCTTTAAGATCGGATTTTTTTTTTTTTTTTTTTTTTAAATCATGAGTATGTGCATGGGTACGTATATGGGAGTTCAGGAGCTCACAGAATCCAGAAGAAGGCATGGAGCCCCCTGGAGCTGGAGTTATGGGGATTGAGAGCCACCATCCTCCATGGGTGCTGGGATCTCTTCCAGCCACAGAAAAGGTTTCTTAGCAAGGTCACAGGCCACAGCTCTGGGAGCTGGCTAGGGGCCCTGAACCAGACTTTGAACTAAGACAAGACAATTATGGTGATGAGCTGGCTGCAGGGGCTTCAAACTCTATGTTGCCAAGGATGATGACCCTGAACCTCTGATCCTCCTCTCTCTACCCTCTAATTCTAAACCTGGTGTGTTTTCTGTGAGTGGCTGGCCTTCACTGTATCTGTGCACCATGCCTGGTACCCAGGGAGGCCAGCAGAGGGCGCTGTGTCTTGTGGAACTGGAGTAACAGTGAGTTGCCATGTGAGTGCTAGGAATCAAATCCAGGTCCTCCTCAAGAACAGCAAGTGTATGGGGTGGAGGGATAGCTCAGTGGTTAAGAACACAGTCTGTGCTTCCAGAGGTCCTGAGTTGTTCAGTTCCCAGCAACTACATGCTGGCTCACAACCGTCTATGATGTGATCTGATGCCCTCTTCTGCCAGGCAGGTGTACATGCAGATAGAGCGCTCATAAAAATAACTAAATTAAAAGACAACAACAACAAATTTCTTAACCACTGAGCTAATTCTCCACCCCACTCCTTCCCCCATGTGTTTTGTATGGCCCCAGAGATGGCTGTGTTTTTTTTATTTGTTTGTGACAAGGATCTCTCTATGTGACAGCATCCGACTGGCCTCGTACCAATCAGTCTAACTGTCTGCCTTCAAGTGTTGGTACCCTGACTTTTTTTTTTTTTAAGCTTCTTCTCCAAATAAGATAGGGTCTCACCCTCACATAGCCCAGTCTGGCCTCAAACTCACTGTGCAGTCAAAGATGACCTTAAACCTCTAAGCCTCCTGCACCACCGGGTCCAGTTTTACTTAATGCTGTGGATTAAATACAGAACTATGTGCATGCCGGGCAAGGACTCTACCAACCGAGCTAAGCCTACCAAATAATTAGTACAGCAGTATCATGAATCGGTAAGGTGTGCCTTAAAAAAAAAGAGTCATGGAACTCATTGAACATTTGTATAGGATTTCCAAGATTTACTGTTGGGGTGTACATGCCGGGCATAGGGATGGGAGGGGGGAGTTCAGAAAATAAAAGTATACAACATTTTTGTGAAGAACAAAAAGGAAGTACTTTAAAATCATTTCTATCTACCTTCACATGAGTCTAGTTTAGGAGGCTAAGGTTATAGCTCAGTTGATGGAGTGTTTGCCTCTCACCTGCAAAGCCCTCAGTCTGATCTCCAGCTCTGAGTAAATCAGAGTGTGTGCCTGTGATTCCAGCACTTAGAGAGGTAGAGGCAGGAGGATCAGAAGTTCACAGTCATCTTCCTTAGTTACTTAGAGTTTGAAGCCAGTCTGAAACACATGAGCCATTGTGTCAAGAAGAAGAAGAAATGAAAAGGAGGAGGAGGAGGAGGAGGAGGAGGAGGAGGAGGAGGAGGAGGAAGAAGAAGAAGAAGAAGAAGAAGAAGAAGAAGAAGAAGAAGAAGAAGAAGAAGAA